CCTGCATAGCCTGTGAACTTCCCTTAAATTTCTTCCTGATGCTTTTTCCAGGAATATATTCCACATTAAACATCAATTTATTGGCTGATTCAGAAAATTGTAAGAATATTAATTTCAGCTCCCCATTGTTGTAACCAGACTCTTCCCCATGAATTCATGGCTATGTCAGGCACATAAGACTTTAATATTCCTTCCTGTCCTTCTGGTCCTATGCATTTAAACAACTCTACACTCTGTTTTACTTCAGATAAGGTTTCAATAACTACAAATTGAGTAGCGACTTCTTGTAAAGGTCAGATTGCATCCTAGGATTCTGGTAAAATTATAGATACATCAGGACCAGAATCCAATAAACCTTGAGGATAATGATTATTTTCAGGCATTTGCTGCATAGTTACAGGGGACACCTGTGGGGGTGTTCTTATAACCTTAGGCAACCATTCCTCAACTCCATCATAAGTTGGTACCATATATCCATAATTAAATATTTCCATTTTTTTCTAATAGGATAATTCCTTTTCTTTCCCTATTTCTTATAGGGAAAATTTTTCTTTTAATTCTTTCTTCTTTCCTTCTTAATACTGGGAAGATTTCTTTTTTATGTTCTTTCTTTATTTTACCATTTCTCTACTGGGAAGTTTCTTTTTCCTTTTTTATTCTTTGTCTCAGATGCTCTTGTATTTTTAAACATGCAGTTATCCTTTCAGCCTTTCTTATTTCTGGCTCTGTTTCATCTGATGAAGGAAGAGAGTCATCTCCACTATCTTGCTTTCCTCACTTTCACTGTCCTCTGAAACAGCCTTCCTTCCTATCATCCTGTGAAGGAACGTTCTCTTCATCTGACTGACAATTTCCAGCCTGAGTGTCTTCATTTTTACTTCCTTGTTATACTTTAGATACAGCTTTAAGTGACTCCTCACTCTGCAATGGCATCAGAACATTTGAAATTAAATTACGTAAGGACCAAATTTTTAATGGTATTTCTCTCCTTTTTATAAGACATTCTTTACATACGTTTATTTTATTATAAATAAACAATTGCCGAAATTGATTTTTATTTAAATTTTTTATTCATTTTATATACCAACCACAGACCCCCTCTCATTCCTTCTCACTCTCCCAATACCCCTTCCCTATGACCCACTCCTTCCTCTCCTCCAAAAGGGTAAGGCCTCCAGTGGGGAGTAGGCAAAGCTTGGTACATTCAGTTGAGCCAGGACCAATCTCCTGCCCCCTGTATCAGCATTGAGCGAGGCATCCCACCATAGGTAATGGGCCCCAAAAAGCCAGCTCACGTACTAGTGACAGATCCTAATCCCAGTGCCAGGGGCCCCACAAAGAAACCAAGCTACAAAACTAACTCCCATATGCAAAGGGCCTAGTCTCCCATATGCAGGGGGTATAGTACAGTCCCATGCAGGTTCCACAGTTATAGAACTAAAGTTCCTGAGTTCCACAAGCTTGTTTCAGTTCTCTCTGTTGATTTCCCCTTCATAATCATGACCCCCCTGCCACCCTTGCTCATAAAATCACTCTTCCCTCTCTTCAACTGGACTTCCAGAGTCTGACCTGGTGTTTTGCTGTGGATCTCGCAAATGTTCTTCTGGTATGATTGAGCATGCCTTGGGAATATGTCCAAGTGTGGTATCATTAGGTCTTGAGGTAGATTGATTCCCAATTTTCTTTCTTTCTTTCTTTCTTTTAACTTTATAATTAAATTTAATTTTACATATCAGCCACTGATGCCCTTGATCTGCCCCTCCACCCCTGCCTTTCCCAAAGCAAACCCCCCATTCCCGTCTCCTCCAGGGCAAAGACTCCCCTGGGGATTGAGTTCAACTTGGTAGATTCATTCCAGGCAGGTCCACTTCCCTCCTCCCAGGCTGAGCCAAGTGTCCCTCTATAAGCCCCAGGTTTCAAACAGCCAGTTCATGCTTGTGGACAGGTCCCTGTCCCAGTGCCTGGATGCCTCCCAAACAGATCAAGCTAATCAACTGTTTCAGTTATCCAGAGGGCCTGATCCAGTTGGGGGCTCCTCAGCAATTGGTTCATATAGTTCATGTGTTTCCATTTGTTTGGCTAATCGTCCCTGTGCTTTTTCCAACCTTGGTCTCAACAATTCTTGCTCATAGAAATCCTCCTCTTTCTTGCCAACTGGATTCCTGGAGCTCCACCTGGGGCCTGGCCATGGATCTCTGCATCCAGTTCCCTCAGTCATTGGATGAGGTTTCTAGCATGACAATTAGGGTGTTTGGCCCTCCTATCAACAGAGTAGGTCAGTTCGGGCTTTCTCTTGACCATTGCCAGTAGGCTATTGTGGAGGTGTCTTTGTGGATTTCTGTGAACCTCTCTATCACTTTGCTTCTTCCTATTCTCATGTGGTCTCTTCATTTATCATGGTCTCTCTTTCCTTGTTCTCCCTCTCTGTTCTTGATCCAGCTGTGATCTCCCACTCCCCCAAACTCTCTTTCCCTCGACCCTTGCCCTTCATTACCCCCACTCACTTCCAAGTTGTTCATGTAGACCTCATCCATTTCTCTGTCATTGGGGATCTCTGTTTCTTTCTTGGGGTCCTGTTTTCTAGGTAGCCTCCCTGAAGTTGTGAGTAGGAGTCTAGTCATCTGAGAACTTACCATCCTGATTTCCAAAGTAGCTGTACAAATTTACACTCCCAATAGTAGTATAGGAGTGTTCCCCTTGCTCCACATACTCTCCAACATAAGCTGTATTCAGTGTTTTTGATCTTAGCCATACTGACATGTGTATGATAGTATATCAGAGTCCTTCTATTTTCATTTCCTTGATGAATGAGAATATTGAACAATTCTTTAAATGTCTTTCAGTCATTTGGGATTCTTTTGATGAGAATTCTCTGTCTAGATCTGTAGCCCATTTTTTAGTTGGATTGCTTGGTATTTTGATGTCCAGTTTTGTCAGTTTTTTGGATGTCAGCCCCAAGTCAGATGTGGGGTGGGTTTAAATATTTTTCCATTCTGTAGGCTGTCATTTTGTCATATTTATCATGTCTTTTCCCTTTCAGAATCTTCTCAGTTTCAGGAGCTTCCATTTATTAATTGTTCCTCTCAGTGTCTGTGCTACTGGTGTTATATTTAGGAAGTGGACCTCAAAAGAACAATACTCAACTTCATATGGAAAAAGAAAAAAGCCCAGGATAGCTCAAACAGTCTTGTACAGTAAAGGAACTTCTGGAGGTATCACCATCCCTGATTAAAGCTCTACTGTAGCTTGGTATTGACTCTTCTTTCTGATGAGCTCTCCTCAAAGTTCTCAACACTTGCTTCCATATCTTCAGTTATAATTGAACATGAGGAGTTGCCTGAAATTAATGGCCATGCTGTTTAATTAATACCAAAATCTATGTAAGCCATTTTTCCTTCACTTTCCCTCCATTTCCTATTAACTGACATTTATTTATTTTATAATTTTATTTAATTTTACATATCAGCCATGTATTCCCCTGTCCTCGTCCCCAGTGCATGAACTGGCTCTTTGGAACCTGGGGCTTATGCAGGGCTACTTTTCTCTGCCTGAGAGGAGGGGACTGGACCTGCCTGGACTGAATCTACCAGGTTGCAATGAATCCCCCAGGGGAGTATTAACTGACATTTTAATAATTGCAATTCTGTTGCTCCTGAGAAGGAAATTTCCCATGAACTCCTGCTAATCTTCTAGTCCCCTTACCCTGAGAGTGATTTCCTTCAGTCCTCAGAGATGTATGGGATCCTTTGTCCTTCTTTAAGCTCCACATTGTGCATTAATTTCTTGTATATTCAGTGTGGGTATATGTTCAGCCAGATATGTGAAAAGTTGTACAGAGGCACATCAAGGATGAATTTTTATCCTCTTCTACCTGTAGGGTGGATTCACTTCTATGGACTGTACAACTACTGGTAAGTAAAGGATCCTTTATTGTTTTACAAATCACTCCTTTAATAAGCCAATTCTATATACCAAAGTCTTTGTTTGAAGCCCCCAAGAGAGATAATGCCAAATGCAAATTCTCCTTCTTACCATAGCTTTTTTTTTTGGTTGTTGTTGTTGTTACTAAGTTTGCACAGGCTTTGATCCGTAGGAAAACTCTCAGATAAAACTTTAAACAGAAGGTATGGAGACAGGGGTAACAATCATAGAAGGAAGATCAAGGCTAGAAGCTAACCCTCCAGTGTCAAACCGGGTTAGCTTGTGGGAAATGAATCTTCCTTCAGGTTTCATGAGTCCAAGGTCCATCTTTTCTACAGAGTGCATTCAAGAACATCTAGAGGTAAACAGTGAGACCCAGTCTCAAAAAAAAAAAAGAAAAATAAATTTGAAAATGTTTGCTCATATCCCTCTTAGGAACACTTATAAAACTCATTGTTTCACCCACTTAATTTGGATAAAATCATGTCTTTGTCTCTGTCATTGATGTACCTTCTTGGGAAATAGCCATTTAGTATTCATGTATCCCCAAGAAAATTTCCCACAAATTACTCAAAGCATATCTAGGGCTGGGTAGGAAGCTGGCCATGATAAAAGAACCTACAACATTTTGAGTGTCATCTGACTGAAATGATAGAGAACCAAGCAGAAAGTCTGACAGGAAAAGATCAGCTCTGAGCCCCCTCAGCTGAAGGTGTTGGTTCAGAAAGATGCCAGGATTATTTCTTGTTAAGTCCTGGTCTTTGGTGAAGAGGACCATCCAAGAAAATGTAGATGGCATATGGGAGATGCTCTGCAAGAAGATACCAAAATCAGATATGGGTTTGTAAACCAATCTCACAGGAAGCTGACTGAGAAAGGGGAGGAGATTTAGCCCTGCCAGGGTTTCAGGAGGCTTCCTGTCAAAAACCAAAACCAAAACCAAGGAAACCCCCAGGAACGGAGACCACGTGTTTTGCAGCCCCACCCTTCACTGCAGTGGGAAAACAAAAGGCACTTGCCTAGAAAGAGCAGTTCCTGTTTTTGCAAGGACTGCCTGTATAACATACTCTTGACAAGGAGGCACCATACTGCACAGGCAATATACTTTGTGTCTGTTCTTTTGGCAAGAGGACGAACCATCTGCAAACTTTTGGCAACTGGAAGATGCTATGATCCCCAACCTCACAGTTCTGCTTTGTCTTGGTGAGAAATGAAGTTATGGAGAGAGAATTCTGTTCTGAGAAGTAGTCTACCTCATAGTTGAGCAGTAATCCATCAGGGTGTCTCAGTAGCTCAGAAGGCATCTGGAAGTGGAGGTCCTGCTCAGGCTTCAAGTACATACACTCACAGGTAACTCTCTTGCAGGACTGATTGTGTGCCCCAGGAACCCAGTGGTAGCAGGTGAGTGTCTTTCCAGCTTTTCTAAAGTGTACATTCTCAGTGGGGATCACAGGTCACCTGTGAAGAAAAGAGATGGAGAAGAGCTGGTGTGGGCTGATGCCGGTGTTGCCTGCAAGGTCCTGAGAACGAGAGCATGGATTTGAGCAGAATGTCTTCTGACCAAACTTCCATTTTTTTTGTTGTTGTTTGTTTTTGTTTTGTTTTGCTTTGTTTTGTTTTCAGGGGTCCTCTCTAAACCCACACTCAGAGCTGTGCCAGGTAATGTGGTAACCACTGGGGAGCAGGTAACTCTAATTTGTGAAGGCCCCTTAGATGCCCAGGAATACAAGCTCTATAAAGAAGGAAATCCAGATTTCCAGATACCAACAGCTTATGAAGACACTGAAAAAAAGAACAAGATCATTATCTCATCCATTAGAACTCACGATGCAGGCCAATATCGGTGTTATTATAAAAGCCCTAATGGCACATCAGAAATCAGTGACACCCTGGAGCTTGTCATAACAGGTGAAAGGACCCTTCCCCAACACTAGGATTTGTCTTGAGGAAATGAATATATTTCCTGTGGGGTCCCTTGGACAATTCTGGAATGGGGTGACCATGTTAGCAATATAAGTCCACTTAGGATGTTTCCTCTTCTCTCCTAGGAGTCTACTCCAGCAAAGTCACCCTTTCATCCCTGCCCAGCCCTGTGGTGACCTCAGGAGGTTATGTGACTCTTCAGTGCTCCTCACAAGAAGAATATAACAGTTTCATTCTAGTGAAGGAAGATCAAAATTTTTCCATGCGCATGGCCTCACAGAACACATACACTGGTGTATTCCAGGCCCTGTTCACAGTGGGTCCTGTGACTTCACAACAGAGATGGAGATTCACATGCTATGGCTATTACCTGAACAACTTACAGCTGTGGTCACTACCCAGTAACAGCCTAGAACTCCTGGTCTCAGGTAAGGGAGCTTTAGATATTGCTTTGAATGATCATTGGCCAGATAAGAGGTCACAGAAATGGACTTGATATGTGGTGGGTTGGTGAGCTCATGATCCTGAGCCCAATGTCACAGAACTCGGGATACAGCTGTGAATAAGGTTCAAAAACCAGGATGGGCATTAAAAGTAGAAGCCATTAGGTCCAGGGAAGAATGATGTCTTAATGTGTCCTTCTGCTGTTGCAGATCAGCATAACTATCATTTGCAAGTGTGAATTTCTTTGTGCAACTGTCTTAACATACAATTTTTTCTTGTTCTTTGCAGGGACCCTCCACAAACCTACCATCTGGGCTGAGCCAGGCACTCTGATCACATTAGATAGTCCTGTCACCATCTGGTGTGAGGGGACCAGAGAAACCCAAAAATATGTGCTACATAAAGAGGGAAGTGCAGAACCCTGGGACAGACAGACCCAAAAGGATCACAACAATAAGGCAAAATTCACTATCCCTTCCATGACAAAAATGCATGCAGGGAAATATCACTGTTACTGTTACAACTCTGCTGGGTGGTCACAAAACAGTGACACCTTGGAGCTGGTGGTGACAGGTGAGAGGACTCATCCCTAATCTCAGGACCTGCTTTGAAAAAGGGACTACATTCACTTTGAGATCCCTTTCTCAAATCCGAGAAGAGGGGCAAATGTATACTTTAGCGAATAAACTGCACAAGTTTCCTCTTGTCTCCTAGGAGTCTATCCAAGCAAAGTCTCCTTGTCAGCCCAGCATAGCTCTGTGGTGACCTCAGGAGACTATGTGACCCTTAAGTGTTTCTCACAGCATGGATATAACAGGTTCATTCTAATTATGGAAGATGAGAAATTCTCCAGGCACATGGACTCACAGTATACATACTACAGGGACTTCTGGGCGCTGTTCACTGTGGGTCCTGTGAATCCCCAAAAGAGATGGATTTTCACATGCTATGGCTATTACTGGAACAGTCCCCAGCTGTGGTCAGTACCCAGTAACCATCTAGAGCTCCTAATCTCAGGTAAGGAAACCCAAAACTTTTCTCTGAATAATAATTGATTTGACTAAGGATCATAAAGAAGGATCTGATATATGGTGGGCTAATGAACTCAAGCTCCTATGTCCAATTTTACAGAATGTGGGAGACAAGGGTGAATAATAACAGTAGAACTTAGGAGTCCATCAAAAGATTGGGTCTTTATGTGTCCCTCTGCCTTTACCAATCAGCTTAAGTGTCATTTTCAAGTGTAACCTTTGCACAAGTATCCTAAGAGATGTGTCTCATTTTTTTCTACTTTGCAGGGACCCTCCACAAATCCATCATCTGGGCTGAGCCAAGCACTCTGATCACATTAGGGAGTCCTGTCACCATCTGGTGTGAGGGGACCAGAGACACCCAAATGTATGTGCTACATAAAGAGGGAAACCTAGAACCCGGGGACAGACCGACCCAAAAGAATGACAACAATAAGGCAAAATTCACCATCCTGTCTGTGACAACACTGCATGCAGGGAAATATCACTGTTACTCCTACAGCTCTGCAGGGTGGTCAGAGCGCAGTGATACCCTGGAGCTGGTGGTGACAGGTGAGTGTTTGTACAATACTCAGGAATTGTGTCCCAAGACATGACTCTTAAAACGTCTGCTCTGAATGTATTCCCACTCATCAGCCTTTCAGGGGACAATGCAGACTGTGTGAGCCCATTTAATTTTCCATGTTTATCTCTTCTAGGTGTCTCCATCAAACCCAGACTGACAGCCCTGAACAGCCCTGTTGTAACCATAGGACAGTCTGTGACCCTCTCATGTACCTCAAATCAGAGATACAATGGGTTCAGTTTAATTAAGAACAATCAGAAGTTTTCCAGCTTCATGGGCTCACAGAATGTACGTACTGGACTGTCTTCTGCCACGTTCCAAGTGCGTCTCACGACCTCCAGCCAAAGATGGAGTTTCAGATGCTATGGCTATCACTCAAGCAACCCTCAAGTGTGGTCAGAAGGGAGTGACATGCTGGAGCTTCTAGTCTCAGGTGAGGAAGCCCCAGGCTCCCTATTGAATGACATTGAACCTGAAACAGTTTTCCCCAGGAGACCCTAATGTGTGATAAGTATGGGGAAGGACAGGTTCCTGAGCCTACATATACAGCATGTAGATTAGGGAGTCAATATACAGAAAGCGCTGAGGGATGTTCTGAGAAGGGAGCCTGGCAGGGTCAGCAGAGAGATGGATGTTCAGATGGTTCCATGTGTCCTTCTGTCATACAAGGGTCAATTACTCAGCACAGTGACACCCTGGAGCTGTTGGTGACAGGTGAGTGGATACTCAGGAATCATATGAATCCACAGATGTGACTCTTTAGAAAAGTTTGCCCTGAATGTATCCCCACTCATTACTCAGGTTTGGGGGACAATCCAGACTGTGTGAACCCATTTACTATTCCATATGTATCTCTTCTAGTTTTCTATATCAAACCCACCCTGTCTGCACTGCCAAACCCTGTTGTAACCTTAGGAGGATCTGTGACCCTTTCATGTACCTCAAATCAGAGATATGACGGGTTTGTTTTAATTAAGAATGAGCAGTTCTCTAGTTCCATGAACTCAAAATATGTATACACTGGTCAGTCTTCAGCCAGATTCCAAGTGGGTCCCATCACACTCAGTGAAAGATGGAGTTTCAGATGCTATGGCTACTACTCAGGAGAGCCCCATGTATTGTCAGAAGGGAGTGACATCCTGGAGCTTCTAGTCTCAGGTGAGGAAGCCCCAGCCTCTCTATTGAAAGACACTGAACCTGAAACAGGTTTCCCCAGGAGACCCTAGTGTGTGATAAGTGCAGGGAAAGAATGGTTCCTGAACCCACTTATACAGCATGCAGACTATGGGAGTCAAGATATAGAAAGTACTGAGGGGTGTTCTGAAAAGGGAACTTGGGAGGGTGAGGAGTGTGACAGGTCTTCAGAGGGTTCTGTGTGTCCCTGTGGTGAGCACAGGGAAGGATAGGTGTATTAGCCCACAGATACAGATGCAGACTCTGGGAGTCAAGATACAGAAACCAATGGGAGGTGTTGTGATAACAGAACATGGGAGGGTCAGCAACGATATGGATCTCCAGAAGGTTCCATGTGTCCTTCTGTTATTCCAGGGTCACGTCTGAGCTTCGCATTCACTGTACAACTGTTTAAAGTCCCACATCCTTCTCACTTACCTCTTTCCAGGGATGCTCCAGAAACCCAGCATCTGGGCTGAGCCAGGCTCTGTGATCACCTCAGGGAATCCTGTGACAGTCTGGTGTGAGGGGACAATGGAAACTCAAATATATTTCCTGTATAAAGAAGGAAGCCCCGCACCCTCAGGCAGATTGACTGCACCAGTACCTGATCACAAGGCCAAGTTTTCCATCCCAACCATGACAGAGTATAATGCAGGACGATATTACTGTTACTGTTATAACTCTGCTGGGTGGACACAGCAGAGTGACACCCTGGAACTGGTGGTGACAGGTGAGTAGATATTTAGGAATTATATGAATTCCCAGATGTGAGTCTTTGGAAAAGTCTTCTGTGAATGTATCCTCACTCCTTACTCAGGTTTGGGGGACAATCCAGACTTGTGAACCCATTTAATATTCCATATGTATTTCTCCTAGGTGTCTACAACAAACCCACCCTGTCTGAACTGCCGAACCCTGTTGTAGCCTTAGGAGGATCTGTAATCCTTTCATGTACCTCAAATCAGAGATATGATGGGTTTGTTTTAATTAAGGATGAGCAGTTGTACAGCTCCATGGACTCACAATATGTATATTATGGCCATTCTTCAGCCAGATTCCAAGTGGGTCCCATCACTCTCAGAGAAAGATGGAGTTTCAGATGCTATGGTTATCACGCAAGCAAGCCTCAAGTGTGGTCAGAAGGGAGTGACATCCTGGAGCTTCTAGTCTCAGGTGACTAAGCCCCATCCTCTCTATTGAAAGACACTGAACATGAAACATGTTTTCCCAAGAGACCCTAATGTGTGATCAGTACAGGGAAGGACAGGTTCCACAGCCCACATAAGGGCCAGCACACAAATTATGGGAGTCCAGATACAGAAACCACCGAGTGGTGTTCTGAGAAGGGAATTTGGGAGAGTGAGGTGAGAGAGAGAGAAGGGTCTTCAGAGGGCTCCATGCATCCTGTTATTCAAGGGTCAAGTCCAAGTATCATATCCATTGTGCAAGTGTATAAATTCCCACATTCCTCTCACTTTCCTCTTTTCAGGGACCCTCCAGAAACCCAGCATCTGGGCTGAGCCAAGTTCTGTGATCACCTCAGGGAATCCTGTGACAATCTGGTGTGAGGGAACCATGGAAACTCAAATATATTTCCTGTATAAAGAAGAAAGCCCAGCACCCTCAGGTAGATTGACTGCACCAGTACCTGATCACAAGGCCAAGTTTTCCATCCCATCCATGACAGAGTATAATGCAGGACGATATCACTGTTACTGTTATAACTCTGCTGGGTGGACACAGCACAGTGACTCCCTGGAACTGGTGGTGACAGGTGAGTGGACACTAAGAGTCACAGTCCTCACATTTTCTGTGTGTTGGTCCCTGAAAGCTCTGCTGCTGGCAGAGTACGACCCACATGCAATTGGCAACAAGGAAAATTTAGATCACACTGACATAGTTGTTGCTGGTTCACACTTCTAAAAAGTATGACACCAGGTGGTTGATTGTAGCAAATTTAAACACAGTACAAATTTGGACAAAAAGATTCCTGGTGTTATAGAAAATCCAGTGAACAACTAAGTCTTATTGCATCAAAACTCAACTCAGAAGTGACCATGAAGATCGGTTCAATAGCTAACGGGCCTGTGATCTGGTGTGGTCTCTGACCAAGATAACATAGATGTCAGCAGGCTATAAAGTGTATGTGACATCTTCCCTAAGAATGAGGTTCATTAACTGAGAGCTAATGATGAAGTCTAGGGAGACAGAGTCTAGGATATACATTCTGGGGTATTCAGGTGAGGTTTAGAGCTACTTATTGATGGTCCCCTGGCTATTAACATCTACTCACAGGTCTCTTGATAGAAAACAGGTATTTATTCCATCAATTGTTCAGAAACACTGCATGAATAACATTCCTGATTTCTACCACGTTATTTGTGAGATCAAGTACATCATGTCCTCTACATTTTCCCTCAGGAAATATATCTCCCAAATATTTTCACCCATAGCCCAGCTGCTGGAGACAATGTATCATTTAACAGGCCACATCATCTTCTCCTAGGTTTCTACCATGGTAAACCTACTCTGTCAGCCTTGCCCAGCCCTGTGGTGACCTCAAGTGGGAATGTAACCCTCCAATGTGTCTCATCAAAAAGATACCATTGGTTCACTGTGACTGGGGAAGATCAGAATTTCTCCAGGTCCCTCAAGGCACAGTACATAGACACTGGACAGTCCCAGGCTCTGTTTCCTGAGATCCCTGTGACATCCATCAAGAATGGGCCCTTTAGATGTTATGGATACTTCAGAAGTAAATCACATATCTGGTCAGAGGCCAGTAACCCTCTGGAGATATATGTCTCAGGTGAGGAAGACTTATTCACTCAACTGGTTTTTGACACAAGAACCCTTTATCACTTACTCTGCTATCCCGAGGATGGTTCCAGCCATGATGGCTGAAGGCAGATCTCGACTGCTATGACCCAGATTATGAGAGACCCTGAAACTATCAGAGCAGGGAAGGAGAGGTTATTGTCCTAGTTAGGATTGTATTATTGAAATGACATACCATGACAAACAGCAAGTTGTAGAAAAAGATTTTATTTGGCTTACACTTTTACAGCACTCTTTATCCTCAAAGGAAGTTAGGAGAGCAACTCTAACAGGGCAGGAACCTGGAGGCAGGAGTTGATGCAGAAGCCCTGGAGAGTTGCTGCTTACTGCCTTGCTCAGCCTGCTTTCATATAGAACCCAGGACTACATGCCCAGGGGTGGTACCATACACAATCTGATGGGCCCTCTCTTGTGAATTTCTAATTAACAAAATTGCATACAGGAATGTGTGCAGCAAAATCTTATTGAGTCTTTTTCCTAGTTGATGTTCTCTCTTCTCCAATGACTCTAGCTTGTGTCCAGCTAACTTAAACTTAGTCAGCACAGGAATGTATAGCAAGAGTTGACCTGTTGCCTTTATACATATCCTTCTTCCAGGGTCATCCAGGAAGCCCTCCCTGATAACCCCCCAAGGACCCCTCCTGGCACCTGGAGAGAGACTGACCCTCAAGTGTTACTCAGACATGAGTTATGACAGATTTGCTCTTTCCAAGGAGGGTGGAAGTGATGTCCCACAGATGTCTGCCCATTTTACCCAGGCTGGAGAGTCTCATGCAAACTTCACCTTACACTCTGTGGATTTCACCACTGGTGGCCGGTATAGATGCCATGGCTCATACAGCATCTCTTCTGAGTGGTCAGCCCCCAGTGACCCTCTGGACATCCTGATCACAGGTGAGGAACATAGTGTATTCTCTCAGGAACCCAGACTCTGATCATGGTCAGCTTTGGGGAGGCCAGTGATTGATGGTCAAGATGGTGAAGATCATCTTAGGAGGAACATCTGTGGAGAGGGGAGTAGATGAATAGCATTCAGGGAAAATATAGAAGACTATGTAATGAAAAGGGGTCTCAGAACAATGACTGTAGCCCCTCACTCACCCTTCTTCTCTCTAGGAAAACTCTTTGTCACACCCAACCTCTCAGTGCATCCAGGCACCACCATGTCCTCAGGAGAGAATGTGATCCTGTTGTGTAAATCATCAATCCCAGTGAACAGTTTCCTTCTGTTCAAGCAGGGTGCATTGCATTCTCACATGCGTCAAATATCAAAGCTCCAAGATTCACAATATCAGGCAGAGTTCTCCATGAGTGCTGTGACCCCATCCCTTGGGGGTACCTATATGTGCTTTGGTTATCAAAGCTCATCTCCATACCTGTTGTCACACCCCAGTACACCCGTGGAGATCATAGTCTCAGGTGAGATGGCCATGACATGTGTGAGATCAGAGGATAGCACTGGATACTTGACCTTGGAAGCTCTTGACTGGGATGAGAGTTAGTTAATTTGCAGGAGGGCTAAATAGAAAGTGTTTAGTAGTCAATGATACAGAGGCAAGCTGGAATTCCTTGATTAATACCCATTCTACCCTCTTTAGGAAAATTCAGTATGTTCCAGGTAGGCAGCTGCAAGGTTCTGGAGAGGCTTCAGTGTAGATGTAAGACTAAGAAGAACTGAGATAATTAGATCAGACATTACCCCATCACCCCCTCCCATTGTCCTATTACCAAGTTTCCTGAGGCCACAAGGCTCATATCAAGTGTTAGATTTTCCTGTCTAGGAGTTTGTTTCATTCCAGAGTGTGAAATCTCTCAGATCCTGTAAGTCTTAACGTCTCTATCAGCTTGCATGTTGACCAGGATGCTGGAATTCAAGCTGTGTGCTCAACATGGTCCCCAGAACCAAAGAGGCTCACAGGCGAGGACGTAATAGCATCATCCTGACAAAGAGAGATATTTGACATCTATCCTAGGAGAGAGAAGCATGTGAATGAGAGCAGGAAGTAACTTCCCACAATTTCCCTAACTCATCCCATGATGCCCTGAAAACCAGTCCTTCACACCATGGAGTCTGACCACAGAGCTCTAAACTAGAACTCTGTTGCAGGATTGGTCCAGGCACTCAATCTAGATATGGGGTAGATGCAGTCTTTTCTGACAGATTCACATGGACAAACCTCTCTCCTGTGTGATTCTCAGTTTCTATAAGTATGCTCTGGACTAGATGTTAAGTTCCTTTTAGTGCTGATCTTATCTGTGTCCTTCTCATACAGCGAAATTCTCTAGAAACCACTTCTGCAATTGTCTTGCCCCATCTGACATTGTGATCTTGACACTGTGTAGCCGTACGTGACACAGTCTTTTCAGAGTACACAGGCTCCTTCCTTTCAGTTCATGCAGTTTAGCTCCAGAGTAGGGAATAAGACTGAAGGCTGGATTTCTTGTGTTCAATCCTCAGCGATGCTCTTTCCTGCTGGGTGACCAGCAGGTGAACTGTCTGGAGTGATGAGAGTCAGTCTCATATTGCATGGCTATGAGGGTGGTCGGTAGTGAATACAATGACTTAGTATGTGCCTCTCACACCAGTCCTCATTCATGTTATCTGTATCCCAGGACTAGCAAGATACCAGAAGATTTTGATTGGAGTTTCTGTGGGATTCCTTCTGCTGCTCTTCCTTCTTACCCTATTCCTTCTGCTCAGACTCAGGCACCAGAAAAATCACAGCAAGGGAGGTGAGTAGCGTGTGGGTGGTCATATTCTCAGGGTGTAGTACATCCCCTGTTGGCTACCCAAGCAGGGACTAGGCAAGCGAGCCCTGTGGAAAGCCCAGACGGGGAGACATCACTTTAAAAACACTTCTGTGAAACTCAGTGGCGCATGCCTTTAATCCCAGCACTCGGGAGGCAGAGCCACACGGATCTCTGTGAGTTCGAGGCCAGTCTGGTCTACAGAGTGAGATCCAGGAAAGGCACCAAAGCTACAGGAAGAAACTCTGTCTCAAAAAAAAGAAAAAAAAAGAAACATGGACAGATCATCAATATGATCTTAAAACTTGTGCAGTACCAAGTATCATGTGAGTTGTTCCATCTTCTGGAACATTTGAACACATACACATATGAAATGAGTTGTAAAGCTTCTTTCCTTTCCTAAAGGTACTAGGTAAGGATGCTCCACCCTCATGACTGAGACTCTTCTCTTTCTTGCAGTCCAGACAGCGACCAACTTGCAACATTCTGCAGGAGCTGGAGAGCTAGTGACCAGGGACAGAGGCATCCAGAAGAGGTAACTCAAGGCCAGCAACCTAGACCCCCACCTGCCTGCCTCCCCTCACTGCCACCTGACAACCTCTTTTCTCTCCATATCTAGCCCAGCTGCTGTTATCCAGGAAGAAACCTTGTGTGAGAGAAAGAGGGCCCCTGGGAGGGAAATGTTTGAGGTTTCAGCATCACAGGGGTGATGGAGGGTCTGGGTAATTTCTCTGAGGCACCAAGTCACTATGACACTTGCCAAACACTCATTATGAACCCTTTCCCAAAATACCCTTTCTTCTGTTGCTATCCAGGGGGGGAAGGTAACTGGGGAGGTGAGAAGTCCTAGGAATTTGGTCAGGGGAAGACCTGTATGTTCTGTTATTACAGATACCATGGTGAAGGGAAGACAGAATAAAGAGAGCATGGAGCTGGACATTATGGTGAGACTCTTTTCCACAATGCTATGAACTTATGACCCACTTTACCCTGGAATCAATCACTGTCCTTTTTCAGCTCCCAGCATTACCCACAGCTGGCTTCTTGATTCTGGAAGCACTTGTCTTCTGTGTGCTGTGACCTTACCCTTGCTTCCTTTACTTTTGGCCGTATGGCCATACGTTCCGTTCTCACAGCATCTCTCTGCTTGCTGGCATGCATCCTGGTCTCAGAAGACTATGTAAGTGTCTGAAGCTAGTTCAATGGTAAAGTGATTACTTTGAATGCATAAGGCTTAATATTATCGACAAAACTAACAAGTAAGTGAACAGGAAATATGAATATATGAGAACCCTCACCTGACAATGTTTGTGTGCACACATGTGTGAGAACAGGTAGATGATAGAGGCCAACAATCGATGTCTTCTTCTATTTTATTCCACCTCATTTTCTGAGACAGAGTCCCTCAATGACCTTGAAGACCATTGATTGGCTAAATTGCTACCATTGAGCCTTGGACACCAGTCTCCCTTCCCCAGTACTTGGGTACTAGGCATGTGCACTCTTGCTTGGCTTTTTTTAAAATGTGGGCACTGGTTATCTAACTCAGTCACCCATATTTGCAAGGCCACCCGCCTGCAGCTTGGCTCCTCTTCCAATTTCCTGGATCTCACTCTTGACCATGCCTCCTGTGGGAGTAGCAGATACAGAGAGAACAGAATTCCCCCCACACGGGGACAAGCTATAGGATAAGGAATACGATGAAGACGACACAGAGACTGAGCCTTGCAACGTGTTTGAGGGAAATGAATGAGAGGGAATTAGTTGTGGTTGTGTGGGGGAACATCATCATTGTAAATTTAAAGGGAGGGCTGAAAAGAGCCTTCTGAAGAGAAATCTGAGTGGGGAGGATACTAGAAACGTGATGGACTGGCACATCTAGGCAGGGCATGGCAGGTACGGGTGTTATGTGGGAAGGAACATTCTCTTTCTAAAAGATGGAGCCCATGGAGTGAGGTCACCTTGTGTGGATAATATGTCAGAAGTTCAGGAAGAAACTGCCAGGCACTCAGAGGTCTTAGGCAGCTCCAGAGACCCCATCAGCAATGACATTGTTTGACCCCATAGAAATCGAGTGGGAGTAGAGCCTCTGGGGCATCAGTATACACTCCCTGTGCTTTGTTTTCTTTTTTGGCAGAACCAACATGAGGAAAATCACCCCAAAGATTTGTATGCTCAAGTGAAACCCTCCAGACTCAGAAGGGCAGAGCCCACCTCTCCTTCCCTCATGCCAAAGGAACCGCTGGACTCAAACAACAGGCAGGCAAAAGAAGACAAAGTGAGAGACCATCAGGTGGGTCCTGACCTCTCCAGTTCCCCAGGCCCCCAGTGCTGAGCACAGACCTTACTCTACCTTCTCCCACTCCAGGCTGCTGCATCCAAGGAGCCCAGTGATGTGACCTATGCCCAGCTGCACATCATGACTCCAAGACAGAGGCAGCTAAACCTCGCATCTCTCAGGCCGAAAAGTGCCACTTGAGACACTACTCTGGTGTTTACCTGTCCAGATCCAGGGAGATCCAGACTCTGTATTCTGTGGGGGAGGTAGGACTCAGGGAGATCAGAAAATAGAATCTGCCACAGGTGGACAGCCATTTTGCAGATATATCACACAGAGTCTGGTAACTTTGGGGACTCAACCCATTATGTAGTCAGAGATAAGTAATATCCCTGCATTTTATAAATAAAGCAAATACTTTGTCAGTATTCAATGGATAAAAGAAAGAAAGCAGGAGTAAAGGAAGTTTCTGGTTTTGTTTTTGTGCTTTTCTTTGTTTTTTGCTTTTCTTTCAAATTCATAATCTTTTTCATTAATTGTTATTGCATGTACATGTGAATATGTATATACAAAGTTTGAAAAAAATTTCCTCTGAATATATATGTGTGTGTGTGTGTGTGTGTGTGTGTGTGTGTGTGTGTGTGTGTGTGTGTGTCCCAATGGTCCCAAACAGTGATTGAGAAAGTCAGGGATAAGAAATAAAGATGACGAAAGCGGCAGCTGAATCAGAAGGTCTTGCATAAGTCAATGTCTCATGTCAAGCAAATTTATTAAGAAGTACACTACCTCATATACTATTTGCAATGGGCAAATGGCCAAGGTTAGCAGAGAGGCAAGTCAGACAATGTTTGAAAAGTGAACATGAGAAATTTCAAACAGATTCCTTAGGAGGATAACCATTGCCTGGGAAGCAGAGTTCTGTCCCGAGAAGCTGCAACTTCAGTTCCTGAGAGACACTGGCCTAAGTGTCAGACTGGCCTACAAGTCTGGTCTTTTAGTAAAGGCCTCTTAGAAAGTCTTGGTTCATTAAAACTTCCTGTACAGAATCACAAATAAATATATCAAAACCTTTTCTAAATCCATAACCTCATCATCATATACAAAGAGAATAGCAACATATCCCAAATAAGGAATAAAGATATAAATGATACAGAAAGACGTTACAAGTATAAAACACTGTCTGGTAATCTCAGCCAATTGCAAGGCTGATGCAGGGAAAACATATTTAATGCCTCCCTGGGCTACATAGTGAGTTTAATGTCAGTCTGAGAGAAAAACTGCATGCTGATATTGATTCTTTATAAGTCATAGATGGATCCACAGACAGTTCTGTTATATGTTTATTTTTAGAGATAAATTTAGTTCTTGACTACTATGTGAAGGCAGAAATAAAGATAATAAAGACTTTCTAGAATTCAATAAAATATGTGCTTTCATAAAGAAATTTCAGAGCTCTCACACTAGCAACTTAACAGCACACCTGAAAGCTCTAGAACAAAAGAAGCAAACACGCCCAAGAGAAGTAGAAGGCAGGAAATAACCAAACTCTGAGCTGAAATCAATAAAATAGAAACAAAGAATAATACAAAGAATCAGTGAAAAAAAGAGAGTTGATTTTGAGAAAATCAATAAGATAGACAAACCCTTATGTAAAGTAACCAAAAGGCAGAGAGAGGATATCTAATTTAACAAAATCAGAAATGAAGAGAGATATAACAACAGACACTGAGGAAATCTAAATAACATTAGACCATAATCCAAAAACCTGTATGTCACACAACTGGAAAATCAGAAAGAAATGGATAATTTTCTTGATAGATACCAATTACCAAAGTTAAATCAAGATCAGATAAGTAGTTTAAGTAGACCTATAACTCTTGAGGAAATGGAAGCAGTCATTAAAAGTCTCCTGACCAAAAAAAGCCCAGAGTCTGATGGTTTTAGTATAGAATTCTTCAAGACTTTTAAATAAGAGTTAATATTAATATTCTGCAAATTATTCCACAAAATGGAAACAGAAGGAACATTAAAAAAATATTTTGTGAGCTCACAGTCACCCTAATACCGAAACCACACAAATACTCAACAAATAAAGAGAATTACTGACCAATTTCCCTCGTGAACATAGATGCAAAAAATTCAATAAAATACAAACTGAATCCAAGAACACACAATAGGTCAATCCACTATGATTATATAGGTTTCATCCCTATATAATGGTTGGTTCAGCATATGAAAATCTGTCAAAATAATCCAGTATATGAAGAAACTAGAAGAAAAAAAACATGTTCCTCTCATTAGATGCTCCAAAAGCCTTTGATAAAATCCAACACTCCGTGATAAAAGTCTTTGAGCAATCAGGGATACAGGGACATACCTAGACATAGTAAAGGCAATACAGAGCAAGCCTACAGGTAAAATAAAATTGAATGGAGAGAAACTCAAAGAATTTCAGTACAATCAGGAAGAAGACATGGTTGTCCACTCTTTCCATACCTATTCAATGTAGTTTTTGAAGTACTAGCTAGAGCAGTAAGATAACAAAAGGAGATCAAGGGGATACAAATTGGAAAGGAAGAAGTCAAACTTTTGCTATTTGCAGATGATATGATTGTATACATAAATGACCCCAAAAATTTTACCAGGAAACTCCTACAGCTGATGAACATCTTTAGTAATGTGGTATATTGTGATATTTTATTTGTATTAAAATGTTATTTGTATATTAATAAATAAAGTTGCCCGGGGGTCAGAGCTATTAGCAAGCCATAGGAAAGCTGGGTGGTGGTGGTGTACGCTTGTAATCCCAGCACTTGGTAGGCAGAGCTAAGTAAGTCTCTGTGTGTTCAGGGATAGAGCCAGCATTGGATATATACGCCTTTAATCTTAATATCAACCATAGAAGAACTGGAGGTCTGTACAGACAGGCAGTGATGAGGTGGTCATGCGGTTGGGTTTACAACCAATGAGAAGGAAGAACAGAAAGTCTATATAAAGACTTTAACCAAGGAAGTAGCTCTTCTTTCAGAGAGGTAGGATCACCGCAGGAGGAAGGGTAAGGTTTTAGCTCTTAGCTCTGACCTCTTGGCTTTCTTCTTTGCATTGGTTCTGTGTTTCTTATTTAATAAGATGGTTGGTTACATCTACAGTGGTGGGATACAAAATTAAGTAAAAAAATATCAGTAGCCCTCCTATATACAAATGATAAACACACTGAGAAAGAAGCCAGGGAAACAACACCCTTCACAGTAGCCACAAATAATATAAAATACCTTGGAGTAACTCTAGTCAAACAAGTGAAAGACATATATGATAAAAACTTCAAGTCTTTGAAGAAGGAAATTGAAGAAGATTATCAGGAGATGGAAAGATCTGCTATGCTCATGGATCTGTAGACTTAACATAGAGAAAATGGTCATTCTACTGAAAGCAAACTACAGATTCAACACAATATTCATCAAAATCCTAACACAATTCTTTACAGATCTTTAAAGCACAATACTCAACTCCACACTGAAAAACAAAAAATTCGAGATAGTTAAAATAATCCTTTTTTGTTTTTAATTTTATAATTAATTTAATTTTACATATCAGCCACAGATTCCCCAGAACTATACAATTGAAAAAGAAAAACATCTTCAAAAAATGGTGCTGACAGACTGGTTGTTGACATGTAGAAGAAGGCAAATAGATCCATATCAATTGCCATGCATGAAACTCAAGTCCAAAGACCTTAACATAAATCTAGATACACTGAGCATGATAGAAGAGAAAGTGGGGAAGAGCCTTGAACGCATTGGTGCAGGAGACTACATTCTGAACAAAACACCAATTTTGCAGGCACTAAGATCCACAAATTAGTCCACAAGAATCTTAAAAGCTTCTGTAGGGCAAAGGACATTCAATCAGACGAAAAGGCAGCCAACAGGGTAGGAAAAGATTTTCACCATCTCCACATTTGAGAGAGAGCTAATATCCAAAATATATAAAGAACTCAAGAAACTAGACATTACCAAACCAAAAAATCCAATTAAAAATGGAGTATAGATCTAAACAGAGAATTTTCAATGGAGGAATCTCAAATTGCTGAGAACCACTTAAAGAAATGTTCAACATCCTTAGCCATCAGGAAATGCAAATCAAAACATCTCTGAGATTCCATCTTATACCTCTCAGAATGGATAATATCAAAAACACAAGTGACAGCTCATCCTGTCAAGGATGTGGAGCAAGAAGAACACTCCTCATTTGCTGGTGGAAGTGCAAGTTTGTACAGTCATTTTGGAAATCAATATGGCGGTTTCTCAGAAATCTGGGAATTGATCTAACTCAAGACCCAGCTATACCACTTTGGAGAATATTATCAATGGATACTCCACCATATCACAATGACACACAGTTATGTTCATAGCAGCTTTATTCATTAATAGCCAGAACCTCCAAACAATCTAGATGGCCCTCAAGTGAAGAATGAATAAAGAAATGTGGTACATTTACACAATGGAGTATTACTCAGCTGTTAAAAACAATGACATCATGAAATTTCCAGACAAATGAATGGAACTTAAAAAAATCATTCTGAGTGAGGTAGCCCAGACTCAGAAAGAAAAACATGGTATGTACTCACTTATAAGTGGATATTAGTTGCAAACGAAGTAATCATGCTACAATTCACAGACCCTAAGGGGAATACAAGGATCTCCCTTGGAAGGGGAAATAGAATAGATTTGGGGGAAGCTATAGATGGAGGATTGGGAACAGAAGGGATCAACTTGGTGGAGGGAGAAAATACTGGGAGAAATGATTGAAATTGGAGGGCATTTCAGGGTCCCTCCCCTGAAAGGTGGAAAACTCATGCAATGGAAAATCCATGTAATCTACAGCAGTAACCCTAGCAAGGACTCCTAGTAATGGGGGACATGGAGTCTGAACTGGTGGCCATATTCTGTAACCAAGCAAGACCTCAGGTGGAGGGATTGGGACACCAATTCAACCCCAAATCTTTGACCCACAGTTTTTCCTGTCTGCAGAGTGTTCTGGGATCAGAGAGTATCAGAATCTTCATCAAAGAGACCAGAGAGACATCATTCAACAACTGATGGATGCAGATGAAGAGTCCCAGAGCCAAGCATTGAGCAGAGCTCAGGGAGTCCTGAGGAGGAAGGGGAAGAGGGTTTTCAGGAACCTGAGGGGTCAAGAACATGATGCAGACACACACAGTCCACAGAATCAATTGTCTGGGACTCATGGGGACTCTCAGAGATCAGGGAGCCTGTAGGGGTCTTACCAAGGTCCTCTATATGTTTTGGTTGATTAAATTCGTGCCTTGTGAGATTCCCAACAGTGGGAGTGGGGGTGGTTGCTGACCCTTTTTCCTACTTGTGGGACCCTTTTCCTCCTGCATGGTTGCCTCATCCAGCCTTGATGTGATGGTATATGCTTGGTCTTATTGTAACACATCATACCGTGTTTGGTTGATGCCCCTGGGATGTCTGCCCTTTTCTGAGTAGAAATGGAGGCAGCATGCATATGGAGGAGAAGAGAGGTTGGCGGAAGAGACTAGGGGTAGGGGAGATATTGAGGGAGAGGAGGGAGGGAAAACTATAGTCAGGATATAATCTATGAGA